TAGAGCTTGTATTTTATTAACCCTTTAAAAATAAGTTACTGTATTCTGCATGGTTTGTTGGCAAGATTCTTTGGATGTGCTACAAGTCAAAAAGAGGCTTAGAAATTAAATACATTAATAATATATGAAGTTAGCTTATTCCATCCCCTTTACCAACTGGTGTTTAAGTCTGAAATGGGCACAAGGACATTCTTAAATTATTACATTTCAGTGTTCATATGGTTGAGGTCTGTTAGCTGACTGCCCACTAGGTGAGTATAAGCAGGGCTATTTTTGGGCAGGAACGCACAGGAACGGAGTTCCGGCTGGCTCCCAAGTTGGCCACACCCAGCAGGAACTCATTAGCATAATAGGCCACACCCAACAACAGAAACTCATTAGGACTGGCTACATTAGGGGTGTGTGGCCTAACATGCAAAAGGTTCCTGCTACAAAAAAAGCCCTGGGTTTTGACAACAAACAAGGTAAACAGAATAAGAAGCAAAAAATGGGTGTGGCTGAATGACCACACTTCTGGTAATGTGGGGGTGTGACCTAATAGGCTAATGAGCTGCTCTGTCAGGGGTGTGACCTAATATGCTAATGTGTTTCTGCTGTTGGGTGTGGCCTATTATGCTAATGAGTTCCTGCTGGGCTTTTTCTACAAAAAAAGCCCTGAGTATAAGCTTTTTCTTCAGCCCATCCATAGGAATTTATACTAATCCTATGGTCAGGCATCCCACTCATTACCTGGGCAATGGAATATCATACCACTCCTTTCCCATCCAGGACCAGTTTTAGGATTGTGACACTCTGTGTAGTCAGAACTTCCAACAACCATTTTATTTTCATCCAGAGAGCCAGTTTGGTGTAGTAGTTAAGTGCGCGGACTCTAATCTGGGAGAACCGGGTTTGATTCCCCACTCCTCCACTTGTAGCTGCTGGATGACCTTGGGCAAGCTATAGTTTTGTCTTGAAAGAGCAGCTTCTGTCAGAGCTCTCTCAGCCCCACCTACCTCACAGGGTATCTGTTGTGGGGAGCGGAAGGGAAAGGAGCTTGTAAGCTGCTCTAAGACTCCAAGTGAAGGGTGGGGTATAAATCCAATCTCCTCCTCTTCTTCTTTAAGTTACAATAGAAAGTCCAACAGACTTTCATACAACAAACCCTTCCCTCCAAGTATTCTATGAAACTTAAGCTGATCATGATTTCAAGTAGGTAAGACAATACATCAGACTCTAAACCACTGCACAAACGTGACTGATCCCCAAAGCCAGAGTCAATTAATACCCGTTGAGGAGTTCCCCATACTTGACTCCCCCTCCCTCCTGCTGCAGAGAGCAGGAATAAACGGAATGACTGTCAATCATTTCATGGTGAATGTAGCCCTACATATACATAAGTTAATGGAGAGGTTAAAGGTGTGGGAAGGAGGGACACCCCTATTCCTCCATTCATAATTTGTTAAGCAGATGAATGCTGTTTAAGCAAAGGCAAGCAAGCAATCTTCTGGAAGTGTTCAATAGCATGGAATAGCACCAGCTCACAACATTAGAAGAACAGAAGTGATGAAAATGGCGTGCACCCTATGAAGAATAAAAAAGAAGAGCTGGCTTTCCCCATGTTTCCTTTCCCCCCTTTGACCCCCCAGAAACATGATTACCAGGGTGGTGAGACCCACAAGGACAAACGTCCACACAGGTTGGGGGCTGAAGTGAGGAGAGGAAGGGGAGTTAAATCTCTCTCCCCCCCACAAGTACAGCTTCACTGACAGAAAAGCAATGAGAGGCAATTTGCCCCCTTCATCTCACTGTTCTTCTGCCAGGGCAGCTCCTCTCACAGAACTCTTGCTATGCATAGTCCTTGTGGGTCTTGTGACCCCAGGAATAATCTTTCTGGAAATCAAAAGGGAGTACAGGATGGGGAAAGAATGCAAGGAAAATCTGCATGCTTCCTATTGGTGTCTCGTAGTATACAAGCTAACATTGGCATACCTAGATTTGGTAGCAATGTTGGTCTGAAGCAGCAGAACAAAATTTGAGTCCACCTTTAAGACAAACAAAATTTTATTCAAGGTATAAGCTTTTGTGTGCAAGCACACTTCTTAAGATACAGTGAAACAGAATTTCCTCAACCATTACATATAGGAAGAGAGAGGGTGAGGGGGTTTAGTTGCCAGGAAGGGCTGACTGTTGTCAAGACAGAGACAGAAATAAAAATGTAAATTACCAAATTAGGTAGAGGGTGAGCAGTAAATTATCATACATCATAATGAAGATCAAGGATCAAGCAGGGATAATAAGCTTAGTGTATATGGTTACCATGTGTTTGGGTTTAATACTGGGGGGGGGAACAGTGAAGGAAATAAATATGTCAAAGCTGGAGATTGATGTATCCTTAATTGTGGGATGCTGAGAGTAATTAATTGAGCATACCTAGTGTATAAGACACACACACTGATATCCCTCCAGTTAATAAGGGTCTAACAGCCATCTTTGGAAGTTCTCTTTACAGTTTTAAACAAGTTATCTAAAGTCACTGATGCTAGTGTTATTATCAATCCTGATTGCCTACTCAGGTTGTTTACTCCAGATACTAACTAATTTCAGCATGATTATGTGCCAAATTAATTAATTTGCAGTATGATACAATGCAATGTCATATCCTTCTAACTCTGCAAGTTTAGAAGAGTCTGGTTAGGACTGCACTGAGAATTATGCAACAAGCAGCAGAGAGAATGCACTCAAAAAAATATCTGAAGTTCCTCCAAGATCTCATTGCGAATCTTTAGCTAGTTTCTGATTTTGGCTTTGAAAAAACATAGTGATACAGTGATAGGTCCCACAATATATACTGCATACATTCCCCTCCTTAGTCATCATCCTACAGAGCTTAATACAGTGCTAAGTCTGGATCTGAAGCATGTATACCCATCAGCAAACATAAAACGTCAGATCACACTCCCATTTCACCCCCAAACAGACTGCTCCTGAGATGTTCTTTAGGAAAGTCATATGCAAACCCAAGCCTTGACTGGTCATCTTTTTTGGTACGCAATATGAATATAACTGAAGTTCAAATGGTATAGCAACAGATATTTTATTCACAACTTTCACCATAAGAGGATGTTGTAGAGTTATACCAGTTAAGAAAGGTACTACATATATACACAAAATGTATGCGGATCCCCACATACACATTATATTAAAAACAAGCCCCAACATTTAAAAAATCCTCAGTCACAAACAATGGCCATAACATGGTCCATATACATTTGTTACAACTGCACCACAGCTCTGTGACAAGATAAGCAAACAGTGTCTAACAATCCCAAGACAACACTGAACAGCTACATCCCAGGAGACAGTTCGCTCCATGGCAGAATTTAGACTGGTTTTCCCACAGAGGACTGACAGTGTGCATCAATATATCTGCAGACACCAAGTCCAAAAGTGTCACTAAGGTGCCAGCTAACAGGTCAGATATTGCAATATAGTTCACAGAGATATGTGAGCTAGAAAATAATACATGCATACATTTTTCAAAAGTGTGTCACTGTTATGTTTAAGAATGCTACCATTAAAAAATCCATTTTTAAAAATCAGCCAAACTAGAACTTTGCATACATCACTGAATATAAAAGATGAATACAGGACTGAAAGTAAATGGGCAAGGCCGGAGACAGGAAGAGCTGGTGATCAAAAAGCCTAATGAGAGACATCAGTAGTGGAAAGCACTGAAATACCAGGGGACCAGGGGAACAAATAAGAGTTTGGAGGCTCTAGTCACCTCTTGTTTACTATTTTGGCAATATAGTTTTACAACACGGCTTGTGGAAACCTGCCAAATTTCTGTTTGTTTCCTCTGCTTAAAACTATCCTGAGTGCATTGTGACTTCCTAGCATGAAAAGTACTGCCATCATTTGACAGGAGATCCTAATAATTCTTCTCTCAATATTGCTTGAAGCAGACCACCTATATTATTGGACCATCCCCTTTAATATAAGAAGGTTGGGAGGGAGCCAGAGTAAGAAAAATAACCAATTTGATTAACTAACAAGCAGTGCTGGGAAAATTCTGAAAGCTTGTTCATTTAAAAATCTGATGGTACCTAAACATTTTCAGCCCAACCACAATTATTGCTGAAGCATTGGCACACTTTACAAGCACATGCAATGTGCACATGTAAGCAGCTGTAGCCATATTTTGCTTTGAACATAATGTGCTCACATCTGATTGCTTGTGGCATGGCTTGGCGCAATATATATATGATAAAGTAATTTGTTTAAAGTTCTCCTGGTCTTACAAACTCCCACATTTACTAGCAACAATGAATGAGGTCACCATCTAAATATGCAGAGCAACAAATGCCATTTATAGATTACACTGAAACCATGTTTAAATTGGGAAGCAACATATTAAGTTGTCCCTGCTCTGAAACTTGAGAAACGAGGTATTTGTTACATGTAATTGAGGATCTATTCTCCTCCTTTAAATGTAAAAAGTTAAAGAACAGATACTGGATATTTAGGAAGCTTGTCTACAAATTGAGACAACTTTTTGCTATTAATGCTTTTGATTAAATTTGAAATCTATACTGAAATATCTGACTGGTAGCTGCACTGAGGATTAACAATAATGCTAAGGAGATCAAATAACTGGAAACTAAAAAAAGCAGTAAGAGGCACACATTAAAAAAACATGAAGAAACAAGAAACCAGTATTGATTTCCATGACACAAATTTAAATGAGTCAAAACATGCACTTTTAAGAATTCATGTACTAAATTTGCACCATGGTGCAATCACAATGTTGTAGTTAATTTTTTAAACAAGAAACGTTAACTAAACTAGGATGTCAACATCAATGGACTGCTATTCTGACCTTACACTTAATAGAAAAGGCACAAACATCCATAGTTATCTCTGGGATACATCAGATGGATTTTGTCTCACATGGTAATAGAGGTTACAGTCCATGCACTAAGTCCATACATCTTCCATACATCTAAGTAAAATCCTACCTGTGTTTTTTGATGCCATTTGACAAAGTCTCTCCACTTTTACGGCTTTTCTCTTCAGTCATGTCAGATGTTATAGTATCACTGGAACCCACACTGTCTTCTAATGAAGAAGTTGTCACAGTTTCAAATCCACTCAATGATTTTTCGGATTCCGAATCTACAGGACAAGTGAACATCAATGAGCAAACCTCAAAGCTGGTGCTTCACAGACTAATGAACACCTTTCTCAACACAGAGCTCTGAAACCTAAGTAGCCTCTTCTGTACCAATGACAGCATTTGTCCAGTGAAAGCTTAGTACTAGTGGAGACTGAGTCACCAGCAGAACATCAATGAGCAAGTTGTTTAGCACTAAGGCTTGGGAGACAATGGTGCATGTGGGCAGGACAGGTAGGGTACCAAGAAAATACTTTCACCCACAACTCAAGGCTAGTGAAAATGCAATCCCTTAATCATGGTAATATTTAGTAACAAGATTATCATGGTTAAAGGATCAGAAACAGGCTCACAGGACAGCATGTTCACTAATTCCATTCCCTCCCCTCTTCATTATGAAATCCAACTGGCCTTTAACTATGGTTTGCAGTAAAAGTGCTCACAGTAACCATTTTAGCCAGGATTTGAAATATGTGTAGGATTGAGCTGAAAAATCAGGATGTAAATGTCATGTTATCTAAGAAAATGTGCCCTGCAACTCCCATATGAGAAGACATTTCTTTCAAGCTAATTTGTCCCAGCAGTATGGGACAAAACCATGAACTGAATGCATTAAAGCAGAAGATATTCATCCTCAATAGTCCCAATGATGATTAAGGCCAAATGTTTATAGATTTAAATACCAATGGTAGTATAAGAAGTGGTAACTAGTTTAAAGACCTCTGTATATACTATCAGTAAGCACTGTACATGGAAAGAAGAATGATCATGTATGGCAGAAACAAACATTTGCAGTACTCAGTCAAATATACATCCATAGAAGAAGCTAACACAGTTGGTACGACGCAGGTAACATAGCTATTATGAAAGTACAAGATGACCTCTGAAGTAAACTGCACTAGGACCACAGTTCTGCCACACTCACTACAAAATCTATTCAGTGCCAGGTATAATACACACACTCACAAACAAATCAAAATCTTTACAACCATAAGGTAAGGTAAATTAAGATTTTTCTGCACACTTTTTTGTGTCTTCCAGTGACTCTCAGAAGGAGCTATTCAGGAAGCTTGAATCTTACTACCTAAAATCATAGGCCCTGTTCTAATTTATTCTATCCTAGATCTGTACTGTAAAAAGTTCTCAGTCAGAGAGACTACACATATTCATTCCTTCCCTCCCAAGTACACTGTTAAAACTACAAACCTATCACACCTTTTAATAGTCCCATATCTGTCAATAAAGCAGCAATAAAACCACCCAAAGACATAATCAAGATCTGCCAACTGGGAACATCTCGGCCTACGACACCCCCCTTTCTGCTGACCTCACAGTGAGGTAGAATAACGAGTGGGTATTTTCAACTACCGATGCATCCTGTAAGATTGAACTGTGTTTTAAGTGGTTAAATTGTATAATTTTATCGCACCCTGTGTGCCTAAATTGTTTTAATGTGTTATATTTTATTGCACTATTGTGCCGTGTAAGCCGCCCTGAGCCCGCATGCGGGGAGGGCGGGGTATAAATGAAATAAAAAAAACAACAATAAAATAAACAATAACAAATATTAGTTTGTAAACTGAAAACAAGGACTAAGTGAGTTCTTAGTCCTCTAGCAGTCATGGACTGTAGATGGCAGTTAGGGGGCAGGTCTTGTCCTCCCTGTTCCCTGTTGCTGCTTGACAGGCCAGTAGGGGAAGGGGGGGGGGCTCTTTGGCATCACTCTGGCATAAAGCCCAAAGTGATGTTGAGCCTGCACTCAAAACTCTATGGTTCAACCCACAGAGTTTTGGGAGAATCCTATGGCATCACACTGATGTGATGCTATTAGTTCCAGATTTGCAACACTGAAGAAGTTGTACCTGCCCCCTGAATTCTATCACTGGGTTACCAATCATGTCAACTGGGGGGAATAAGAAAGGGGAGGGAGAAAAAGAAAAAGCCGGAAAGGGGGAAATTGGCCTGATCACATTCCTAACAGTTTGTAGCATCCAGGACAGGAGTAATTTGCTTAGGGATGTATACTGTATGGTTCAAGAGGGGCAGCCCTGTTAGTCAGCTGCACCCAAAACAATGAAGAGCCATGAGGCACAATAAAAGACTGATTAATTATGACACAAACTTTCATCATCCAAAGCCTGCTTCATCAGATGTAAGAATTTAAGTAGTAGCAGTAAGGTGCAGATCTCTTAACCCTAATTCCCCACCTATAGTAACTTGTTAAAGGCTCCTACTGCTTTGAAGCAAAACAAAAAACAAACAAACCCCCTTGGATTTATTAGGATTGAAAAACGTGCTTCCTTAAATCTAGACTCATTAAAGCATGAAATACCTGAAACACTTTAAAATATCCATAAGCAAAGATGACGGGAGGGTAAATGATTGTGTCCCATGAGAACATAGCCTTTGACCCCCAAACTCTATACAGCATAATATCAAGAGATAAAATACCTTCACCTCACCAGATGCTACTCAGGCTTGGAGCAATGTAAGATACTACTTACCTAGCCCCATACCTCAACAAGACAGTCTCAGTCAACTTTCAGACACTCCTGTCTGAACAATGGAAATCCACCATCACCTTCTGTAGAAGATAAGTAGGTGGTGGTGGGAAGAACATGCAAGCCTTCCTTATGATGTGTGCAGCTTATACTACAAACAAATGTCACCAATCAAAATAAGCAGGTTAAGGGTTTTAGCCAGCTGAACAAGTGACTCTGTTCTGCAGGTCAAAATTTATGGGTTAATTCTGAAACATAGGAAGGTGTTTGGGGAAATGTTTAGGCAACAAAACTTAAGGCCACAGAAACCCTTTTTTTTGCAGACAGACATCCCAAACTGACAGAAGCTTGATTTGTCAGTAGCAACTTCTCTGTGAAGAAAGACTGTAAATAGTTGACTCTCATCCATTTAAGGAAGGGAAAAGCAAGAATAAGGTAACTCATAATTGTCAAGCCATTAAATCAAAGTATATAAACTGGCTCAAGGGAGTTGTTGCCTACACACTCAATTATATTAACTATAACTTTATCTTAGGGGCTCCCAACATAGTGCCTGTGGGCACTATCGCGCCCGCTGACACCTTTTTTGGCACCCACCAAGAGTTTTTAGAAAGTGGATGGGGACAAGGTGAGACTGTTGCCCAGTAGGACTTCTGATTGGCAGCTGGAGATCTGATTGCCTGTAGAGATTCAAATAATGCTGTTTAAGCAGCAGCTGTCACTGCAGTGTTGGTTTTATTCGCTCTCATTCCTTTTTCCAAGTACATTTTTTAAAATTACCCCTCTTCTCCTCTGCACTTGGACTTCAGTTATTTTGTGATTACACCAGCAGCCTGTGTCAGAATTCCAAAGGTGCCCACAAGGTCAGAAAGGTCGGGGACCCTTGCTGTAGCTCACAGACCTGAAGAATTTCAAGTGTTAACATACACAAGTGAAAGCCATTGCTTGCATAAAAAGGTCTGCTTTTCATTAATCCATAATTATTATTCTGGTGTCGTAATCCAATTTTTTTTTAATCAAAAGGAAGCTGTTATGCAGTTATTCTGTTTGGCCCAAGCAAGTTTAATAAGCCTGAGTCATAGCATTACTATTCCACAGTGTTAGATGCAGCATTTCAGCATTTTACTTAAAAATATACAGAACTAGATTTCTCTGCAAATAGCAGCAATAAGGACTCAAGACTCCATCTTCTCATTCTGCAAAAAGGTTATAATTAAATTTAAAGTGCCATGCATGCTTTATCAGGGCAGGCTGGGATGTATCTGAAGATGCAGCTGTGCACATCACTGTCTCATGATGCATGCAGATATAATATGGAAGGCTTACAGTGCAATCCTAAACAGAGTTACACCCTTCTAAACCTACTGACTCCAACAAATTTAGAAGGGTGTAACTCTGATTAGGATTGTATGGTTAAGCAATCCTCCCCCCCCCATCCTATTTTGGTTTCTTTATTTTTTAAAAAAAGAATGGCCTCCAGGGTAATGCATTTATTTAGGTTTTCTGGTTTATATTTACACATCATAAAACCTTTATGTTTGTTTCAGATGGAACAGCAAACCATAATGAGTTACTATGAGCTCATATGTTTTTTGCATCCCTTGCATACAGTTCTGTTTTCATGTCAAACTACACTTTTCTGTCCGAACTGACAAAACTGTGGCAATAAATGAGGATCTGGAATCCTGGTTTGCAGGAAAAGCACAAACCATGTTTTGCCAGTTTAGACATAACAATAAATTAGTTTGCTGTGGAAGGATCTCATTTAAATTGCTGTACATGAAGGGACAAGGCAAACTATTAATGCACACTCATTCCTATACTGATAAACTATGGCTTGCCACAGAATCCAAATGATACCTTTTGATACAGGTGGGACATCCCAGAAGCACTTTTTTGGTCTTTTAAGTTGTATAGAATAGCATTTGGCATACTGAGAAAGGAAATTACAAACAAACCTGGAGGCTGCCATTCCAAATACAGCCTCCTTCATAAGGCGGTCTCACAGAGGATCAGCCTAAAGACACACAGCAGGTTTGTTAGCTGGATCTGAACAAACCACCATGTCTTGATCTCTGGAAATACTGCTTTATGATATATGGGAGCAAAAAACATCTCAAACATTAACACAGAAAAGCCTCTAAAAGGGGAACCCCGTTCACACCTTCTTTCTACTAAACAAATCTACAAATATGAGCCCCACCCCTGTCATCCACGCAATGCTAAAAAAGAGAGCAGATATTTATTTTCCACTCTAATCAATTATTTGGATAACAACAAGAGGCTTAGTTCCTTGTTTACAGGCTCAGACTCCAGATCACTACTTCCCAAGTGTAAAACGTAAAACCCTAGCCAGGTGAACTGTTTCACTGGCAAGACGTCTTTGAATATCCAGCCTGTTGCAGAATATTTCCCCCTGATACACACAAGTGCCATTTAACCTAATCTACTTCAGTTTAGTAACACAATCCAGCAACTCTGCCTGTTATGCTTTAAACAGCTTTTATACACTGGATGCTTGTATATTACTGTAAGTCATCCAGAACCTGCTCCTGCTACATTTTTGCCTTTGTCTGACACTTTATCCAAATTGTGCTTAACTGACAATAGTGTGTGTCCCCATCTGCACTTAATAGATGACAAAGAGAGAGACAGCACAAGGAAACAGCAGCAACCCAAGAATAAAAATGGCTCTTGGAAGTTATTAGGCAGTCCACAATATAAACCAATGTTCACATACTTATTCTTTACACAGTACAAACCTCCAGCCTTTACTAATTAAGACAAGTTGCACTTGTTGCTCTTGAAATGGAGCCCTAGGCTACAGACCCAGCTTTTGAGCTACCTTTTACTATGCAATCCTTGAAGTCACTAGGCTTAGAAGGGTCAGTGTTCATACCCAGACAAAGTTTGCAATCTACCATCCTCATTCTTCACCATTTTTTACTCAACCCCCCCCCCCCTCAAAATGTAGTTAGCAACTTTCATGGGATAGGGACTTGTGCTTGAAATTCCTGTGTTTTGATGCTACAAAACTGAACAAGACTGTTCCTGGACTTTCTTTTTAAAAGTCGCATCCGACCATAGACTTGGCTTTCATTGTCATACATACTCACCTGAAACAGCATCATAGAATTGTTCCTCACTAAGGATGCTCAGAGGTGGTGATCCTTTGACTAGTGACTGCTCCAGTTCATGGTGCTCGGTGGCTAATGTTTCCAGTGCTTCAGATAAGATCTTGTTTTTCTCTTGCTCGTGCTCCAGTTTCAGATTCCTCACCTATAAGTAGAAGCCTGTGTGAATAAAATCTCGTATCTCTCAAGAAAGTGAGCCTCAAAGCTACTTCAAGGATAGGCTCCAGTTTGCAACTGAATTATGTCAACAAGCTCTTAGAAGTGGATAACGAACGCCCAAGCAAGTTTTCCCTCCTACTTCATAGTTTTGTCTCTGCATTTTAAAATGTTGAAAAAGCATACAGCATTATAAAATTATTTTATTTAAAGGCAGTGTAAGCTTACGATACAGTTAATACCACATTTGTATAATTCATAAGATGGCCAATACGAACTTGAGACCACAGCACAAGTAAGGTTCATGTGAGAATCCAGCATCAACTTAAACACTAACATATTTGTGCTAGCACAATTTGCATTACAACCTCCTAAATTAAATGCTTTTTAGGAGTATGGCAAACCAACCTGACTTTTAATTCTAGGAGCCTTAAACACATGAAATGTTGTGCCACATCTATGGGTCAGTAAATATCAACCACGGCCTCTTTAGCAATCCTTACTCAAAAACAAACATGTGGGGAAAAGTTTAACTCTGGATCAGCTAGTTTTCCAGATGGCACCAGCTCTCCTGTTGTCTGTCCCTAAATTAACCCTGGAACCCACTTCTATTATGTCCAATCTGATAACATAATAGAGCATACATTTATATTTTCAACAGCATAGAAAAGGCTACAATGATACTACATGCCCTTCTTGTAACACAAAAGTATCCTTCTTTTAAAGCACAACAATTTTCACTAATATTTCTGATGCCTGAAGACTAGCAGCCTACAAAAAGCAATGGTTTGAGTAGAATTAATAATCCAAAATCCTGCAGAAACAAGCTCTGACACTACCATTGTCACATTTCAACAAGATGTTAAAAGTACACTCATTCTTTGAAATGCCAATTTAAAAAAAAATCTTCATTGTTACAGAAATAATATACACATTTCAAATAGTGAGTTTTATATCATTCCCTTGTGGATTTATACCACTGAAGGTAAATCCCCAAATAAAATTCAAAATGACGCTGTCTTTAAAACATCCACCAGCATAGTACACAAAGCAATTAAAACAGATGAGCACTCAGCTTAAAAAACAACAACAAAAACATCAACTATAATAGGCACAGAAATAATCTAAAATATTAGAATTGTCAATATCAGCAACCAATTAAAACCAATAATGTTATAACACTGCTAGCCAAAAAAGCCAGGCAAAGCAACAGTCTTAGCCTGGCACTTGATTTCTAAAAACTTAGGCACTGAGTGAACAAGTGTAGTCTTCACAAAATAAGAACCAAGTCAAGAAGGTTAACCAGCTCTATAGTTATGGGAATACTGCAGTGTGAAGGTGACCTCCCCAACTATAGAAGGTGGCCAAATAATTAAATGTAACATAGCCATACTGAATTCTATACTTCTCAATTCACAACCAATCATACATATCAAATTAAAGTTTGCTGTTCAATGTTCGGGGGGGGGGGGAACCAAGGTAAAAAATTATTAATATGATGAAAGTGACCTACTTATTAATTACTAAACCACATAAGTAATACTTAGGATTTTCACCTAAATATCATCATGGAGACTCTTGTTTTCATGGGGTGGGGAAGCCCCACAGTCCTGCATACTTCATTCTGCACTTTATGGCCCTTGACATCCAGTAAGTGATCCACTTCTTTATCCTATGCAGATTTACTCTCTTTTACCCTTACACTAGAGGAGCTAGTCTAAATTTGCATTTTAATCCATTCATTTCATAGTTGCCTCACGTCTTTTAAAAAGATATAACTATGTAATGAGTGGAAAGGTAGCTACAGGCTGGATGATCAGAAGTTTCCCAATATGAGAGACAAGGAACAACTAGGCAATGACTGCTCCCCCCACAAATCTTTACCTGTCTCTTACAGTCTTGAAAAGCTGTTCCTGAGGGTCAGGAGGATCCTTAGGAACAGTGCTGGTTGCAGCATGGGAAGCTGCAACTATGGTAGGAAATCTGAGGGGATCATACCCCCCCCCCCATGAGTGGAAGTGCTTTCTTTCCACACGAGGGTATCTTGGGATCAAGCTGTTTCTATAGAGGACATTATTTACATACCCTCTTAACATCAGCAAATGAAAGCAGGGGCATTCTTGCATACCTGTAAAATCCAGTTCGCATACCTAGGATCACCACCTCAGCATTCCAACCCACTGCACATTATTGAGTGCTCTTCTCTACCTGCTGTGTGCTGTGTTTGCCTACTTTGCCCTGTCCTGACCTGAGATTCCAAAGAAAAAATTACAGTTACTTTATTATCAGTTTTCTTCAAAGAAAGCCAGAATGAAGAAAAGAAACAAGCATTTAATTGAATGTTTAACCTCATAATGGAAATAGTTTTAATTAATTAATACAGAATAGCTACAATTCAAATAAATTCAGCAATACTGACTACTGACTTCTAGGAGATGATAGGAAAAGAACCTAGCACTCTCACGCCTGATCTCCCTCCCTGTGCAGACAGGTCATCTGTAGAGGACAGGAGTGTTATGTGTGTTCACTGCAACTTGTGAACAAGACTAGAGTCAAGCCACACATCGGGGTTTTGCAGCACCAATATTTCCCCCCAGACTTAATTATCAGCTTAAACTTGACCTGAAACAACCCTGGAATGTGCTACTTGCATCCAAGAACACTGTTAATTCTGACATAAGTGCATTAGGATGCAGTAAGAAAGTAACACTTAAAGCGGGTGTCTTGGGAATACAAGAGACCTTTTAAGGACTATGATTTCTACTTAAATTATAAAGGGGGGGGGGAATCAACTGAACAGAATAGGTAGATTTTATACTTCAAATTTATTAGCATGAATATTTACATACTTTACCCGAACAGATGACAGCATTAGCTCAAGTTGTGGATGGAAGTTACAGGAATAAGCCCTGAGTCTGCATCTCCCTCCTCCCCTTCATACTTTGATTCCCTCCAGCACTTCACAGCAAGCCATAGTTTGGCCCCAAACCAGAACTGGAAACCAGGGTTTCCTGAGAATAAGTACAGGAGGGAATTGGAGTAGAGTCATTGTGCTGTTGCAGTCAATTATAAATATTTAAATACTTTAACAGTTTTCTAAAGCCATGGAAGAATGAATTCAGACTATTGCTTCTGAACTGCTATTTTTAAAAGTGAAAACCACTCAGGAGACTACAGATTTGAATGGTGTAGCAGCAGCTACTTCTTTTTCTTTTATAGGGGAGGCTGCAATTCTTAATTAAAACTGGTTCTGAATTCATTCTTGACAGCCCATTTTGAATTTCAGGATTAAAAACCGCTCTTTGAACGAATGGTGCTGGGCACTTATCGTAATAAAAGCATTTCATTGGATCGCATCGAAACTATTCCCCTCTCACTCAAATACTGGCTGAGCAGCCCAGTTTTGACCATAAATAAAGATGGATTTTCATTTAAAATGTGTTCTCATCAAATCTAGCATAGTCATTTACCAAGGAACTGCTCACACAAAGAAGAGCACTTTTTCTTCACACACTTACTTTGACATGTGATTACTGAAGAAATCTCTGGTGTGAACTCATAAATACAGTCCTCACAACCATTTTGGTGATTATGGATCTCCTTCTTAAAGCCACTTGGGCTGAAGATATGGCTATGTATCCAAGTATGTGATCACATGGCAAAAATAAATACTGCTATTTACTCTGATCAGGCCCTAAATCTGTTTTCTACCAGCCACGTTTCCCTTTTGCGTCTCATAGAGTTCAAAATATTTGCAAGAGTTAAAACAGCAGGGATACAAATTCAAGCAATAGTCCGTTCTCTAATACTGTTAACTTCTCTATATGGCTTACTTATGATAATAAGAGCTGGTAATATTTGGAAGCATCAGATTTATCCATTATTATGACAGTAAGTGTTTGCTCAGTACCTAGAACTTGCAGTCCTCGAAATAGCAGAATAGCAAGCAAACAAAAGCCACTGTTACTTATATAGACTCAAATCCAAGCCCTCCTTCTCAAGCCAGTTAGCTAGAATTGCGACTGGTTTAGACAACACTTGGGGAAGACAGGCTTACCAGTACAGTCCTTTCTGGTCACTTGTGCATAGGATGATGTCCTTATTGACTCCCCCTTATCTAAACCAAACAACCAAATCTGCCAGCAAACAGGTGACAGCAATGGCACGGGCAGTTTCTCTAGATACAAACTGCCTTCCCAACCCACCCCCAGCTATTAACTCCACTAGAGAAAAGAAGGCAGGCAACTTCCTGTTCAACCTTAATGAAAGTGTGGGAGAATGTATAACTAAGGCCGCAGTCACACAAACCTCTTACCGCGCTAGTTTTCCCGCAGTTCTTTTATCCGCAACATTTTATATCGCTTGGAGGTGGTCAGACGGTCCCTCTGTCTTCCGCTTCACTCGCGCGAAGTACTGATCACACAGTACGCCGTCCCCGCGGTGGCGCTTTTTAAAAAAACAACCTGTGCATGCGCTTGTCTTCCCATGCACTTCGGCGTACATACAAACTAAAAAAGTCCAAAATAAAAGCTAGTGCCTGTTTGCACATGCGCATAACTTAAACCGGAAACACACACAAAAAAGGGAGGGTGGGAGGGTAGCGCGGTCACGGCGGATTGCTGTCCAGATACCAAAACCACGGATACAAAGCGCGAGATATCGGGAAAACACCTGTTCCAACGGGTGTCAGGAAACGCGGATAAAAACAGCGGAAACCGCGGGACTCAGCCCGCTTCGGTGCGGGAGGCTGGTTTGCCAATATGAACAGGAAACTGTAAAGCACGAGGCATCAGCAGCGAAGCCCGCACTAAATGTCCGTGTGACCTGACCCTAAGAGAGAGGACAGAACAAAGTCTGAGTCCAGTGGCACCTTTAAGACCAACAAAGTTTTATTCAAGGTATGAGTTTTCATGTGCATGCACACTTACTCGAATACAATGAGGAAGTGTGAGGGCACACAAAAGCTCATACCTTGAATAAAACTTTGTT